TGCAGCCATCATTGTTGTTTGGCGGGTCCAGGCTGGGGATTTGAACCCGCCACCTTAGGTGTACGTGGCTGGCACCTTAGCCAGTTGAGCTATAGGCACCGAGCCGAGAGGCAGAGTCTTATTTTGTCACCCTCGGTAGAGTACCATGGCATCACAGCTCACAGCAACCTCCAGCTCTTGGGCTTAGGCAATTCTCTTGCCTCAGCCTCCCGAGTAGCTGAGACTACAGGCACTCACCATAACGCCCAGCTATTATTATTATTATTATTATTATTGGTTACAGTTTTGCCAGGGCTGAGTTTGAACCAGCCACCCTTGGTATATGGGGCTAGTGCCCTACTTACTGAGCCACAGGCACCACCCCAATTACCTCTTTCTTTGTTTTCTTTCTGTTTTCCTGAAATCTTTTAAAGCAAAACCCAGACATCATGAAATTTCACCTGTAAATACTTAAGTAGAATATCTTTTAAAAGGACATTTTCTACTTAACCATAATCATATAATCATACCTAATAATATTGATATTTATTACTATTCTCAATCATGAGTTTCTTGAAGACAGAATGATTTCATTCCTATATTTTGAGTACCTAGCACATTGGCATTTAATAAATATTTGTTGTGATTCAAAAGTTTTTAAGTTGTTTAAAACCATAACATTTATCCCCCTAAAATATCAGGTCCTTGGGTTGACAACTCCTATTTCATCTACAGAGACAATTAAACGTTACTACAGTTGAGGCCTGAGTACACTGGAGCCCTAAATCCTAAACTTTCATCTTTGATATTGAATCTGGGGAAAACCTGGGTTTTCTTTTTCCCACTGTTCATCTAGGGAAGGCATAAGAACAAGGACTAGATTAAGTGGGGATATTCATTGGTAGAAATTACTGAGAAAGAAATATAGTGGCATTCACCAAAAAATATGCTCTTCAGAATTTTTCCATGGAAATATGACTTTATGGGTGCTAACTGATATCATTGCCCCTGTCTGTTATAATAAAAATTGGAGACAATCTGTGTGTTCAGTATCAGCAGTATAGTTAGATAAATTATGTAATGCCAAACACCTGCTGAAGAAAGAGACAAGCTATATATGTTGACAGGGAATGTGTGTGAGTGTGTGTCCCACATTGGAGGAGGGAACCACATTACTAAACAATACACATCTGACTCCATGTGGATAAAAGTGTGTGTGTGTGTGTGTGTGTGTGTGTGTATCTTCCTATTTATGTCAGGGTATTTTAAAAAGATGAGTGAGAGAAGCATTGTATTGTTAATAATGGTAGCCAGTAAGTTGAGAAGGTGAAATGACCCATGAAGGAGACTATCATATTTGTTCTGTGTACTCTGGTACAGAATAAAATCTTTTTTTTTTTTTGAGACAGAGCCTCAAGCTGTCCCCCTGGGTAGAGTGCCATAGCATCACAGCTCACAGCAA